GTACATTTTCTTACCAGCGAAATAGGAGGTAACAAAAAATCTGCTGTTTGATTTTATGTTGTTAGTTTGAGAAAAAATTAAAACCAATTTTATTCATCATCATAATTTCCAAAATTAGTTTAAAATATTTTTAATGTAATAAACAAATAAATAAAACTTATTTATTTTGTTGTGCACCGTCTTCCATTTCGATGTGAATAATCTTTTTTTTTTCTTTACCGACTGGCAAATGTAATTTGACAAGGGCAAAAAAAGCAGTGCTTCCAAAGTTATTTCAAGCATTGTAACCAGTTCTGCAGAATATCAAATTCAATTTCGGGTGTTAAAAAATTAACAAAATTTACTCTGCCGGGTACAGTGAGTATTGGCCTGAAATGTTTTGTACATTATAGAAAAGACTATATGAATGTTACTGCAAGCTGTTTCCAACAAATCAACCATTCTGTCCGCTTCGAATGTCCGTAGAAACTGGTAAAAACTAATGCCAATCAATAGTGGTTCATAAATCGGGATAACCGACACTTAAAGTTGAGATGTATACTTTTATATGTATATACAGCGTATATATGCTTATACACATACACAAAGAAATTTTAACAGGCCGAAGATGGCTAACTGAAAGGATAATGGTTGTGGTTCTTTTTGCAGTCTATTTTTGTTGGTCGTAATTTGCATTGTTGCTTTTTTGCACCAATCATCAAAATTATATTAAAGTTAATGTAGTCTTTGCACGCAAAACCCTTTCCGAAAAATATACATATATGTACATACATCCATGCACGTGTATGCACTTCGCAGCAAGGACTCCTTCAAGCGTGAGCGGTGGCCCTGTTGCCAACTAGCGGAGGAGCTGTCGTGGGAAAAGTTAGTGAATGGTAATTTAAGAGCCCCATGGCTTATGCTACTATTTGTTTTTAACGAAAAAATTTTAATTTTTTCTGAAGAAAATTTTGAATGCAATTATTGCAAAGAGGGGCAAATTGTTATTTATACGTCTTAAATACCGACAGAATGCACGTATTTCTTTGTGTGTAAATATGGAAATGTTAATTCAGCCATCGCATGTTCAGTAGCAAGTGTATATAATTATAGCATTGCAAAACGGCGATCATCGTAAACATTATTATACCTGATTGAAGCTTTAACTAAAGCTGAAAAAACTGTAAATGGTTTAATAAATTTATTGAACGTGGTGTGGCGTTGCCGTTCGGCTTTAATAATTGCATCTAAGCAGTCGGTTGTATAGAACAATGGTAGGAGTCCTGCAATCTGACCAGTTCTATCTAAATATATAAATAACCGAAATCAGAATTCGCTCAAATATTTCATATTTTCAATATAATATATTTTCTGAATACATGTTTACTATAAACTTTCTTCATATAAGGCCCAGCAACTTCAACTTTCGTTTATATGTATATGTACGCATGCATTTATGTACAATATATACTGATATGCGAACGTTCACTTTCATTAGCATTCGCTGGCTTTCATACCAGTACCAGACCAGGCTGGGTTTCAGATATTCTTCATAAATGTTATTTCCATCAAGTCTTCTCAGTTTTCTCAGTTGGACGTTATTTGTTCTTTTTAGCTGCTATGTGTAGCAAAGTATTGACATAGGAGTGAAGGCGGAGTGCATGGTTTTCACATTTGGCAGGGATAAATTCTGTACTTACTATGCGTGTCACGCTTATCCTTGCGTTGGCGTTGAAGTTGTATTTTGCTGCCGTTGATATTTTTGCTTCTGTTTAATTCATTTCATTCCTAATTTAGATTCCAACGCTATTATCCACCTTCGGTCTCAGCCATTATATGTTAAAATGAATGCGTAAACTGTCATACACACATATGTATGGGAAGTACATGGATATATAATATACATACTTTTATGCCCAAATATTTTCGCGTGCGATCTTTCAAAAGTTTACTCATCATTCTACAAAATTTATTTATTTATTTACTTCAAACGATAAATAACATCCCTCGTATTTGCTCATGCCAGTAGCAAGCATTTCGCTACGAAATTTAACATATGACTAAAAAATGTATTAAAAAACGGCATTATTACATGTAAAACAAAGTTGTAAGTAATACGACAGTTTGTCCAGTTCGACTTGTCTTAATCATTTTAAATTGCCTTTCGAGGTCAAATTAATTTAATGTTTGTTTTGTTCATCTTTCGTCGCAGCTCTGGCAATTGCTTGTTATTTCAGCAACACACAAAGTCTATAGATACTTACCAATATACCCAATATACATACTTTTATGAGCATTTATGTATATTGCTTGGTTGGGTAAAAGGGAAGGCTGTGGATTATTATACGAGTGTAATGCTTATGTACATTACTAAAAAAAGTTCTACTGCTTCAATTCTTGCACCAGCTGTAAATCCTCCACAGAGGCCCAATTGCTGCGAACGGCGACGCACTCTACGTAAGCGTGTTGGTGGTTTAATGTCCAGCAATGTAAAATTAAGGCGAAACTTGGTTACAATAGCCCGAATAGTCACTTCAGTGGGTCGATAAAACTGATCATAAAATCGAAGAAGCGCGCGATGAACTTTCTTCACAGAGCACGTATTTCGATAATAAAATTCAATAATCTGTGTTGCTCGTTTGTAAGACGATTCATAGTTAAATTATAAACCAAACTGAAGATGTTTGACAATGATACAGAAAACGAAACGTGCGTCAGCTGTTTAAGCCAGTATTGCCAAAAGGATAATATCTAAAAAAAAATCATACCTTTACATATGTATGATTTGCTACGTAAATGAATCTTAAAAGAAGAAATACTGCTTACAAATAAAGTTCATCCAAATATTATCCATAACTCAATAGCCCAATAGTCGCGGGGCACATTCATTTTATCTATTTATACAAGTATATATAACTTGGCTTTTCCTTTCTATTTTTGTTTTTGTTTAGCACGAAATGAAGTATGGTCTGAAAAGGCTATTCAAAAAGCGTACGCGTAGTAAAAAGGTATTTCAAATAACTGCAAGTGGGGCCGATGATCCCTGTAAGAAGTGACTTGTAACTCGCACAAGATATTTTATTCGGATTTTTATTGCCTCTGTCATTATATATGTACATATGTATGAACCTCCTCCTCTTTTGTTAGCATTGAATACATTATGCGCATGTGTTGAAGTTGAAAGTAAAACCACAAGAGAGAAATGAAAACTACCTCTCCCATTGATTTTATTGAAATGAGCGCTGTGAGTTGCAATGCAATAGAAATGAAGAAAACAATCTGCTTCCGTCCACCATATGGGAGTGTTGTCTCACTTGTAAGCCGTTTTGTTGAAAAGAACTTTGGATATATGTACACATCCATTATGCAATGTTGTAAAGAATTGCTTTCGTTTCGTTATGTTTTCAACAAATTTCGACACTCTCCATCTGATCTAAACGGGTTTAATTTACTTTCGTCCGCAAAAATTACGGTGTCCCGGAAACTTTCATGTTTATATAAGGTCCTTTGCAAACTTCAGAATGGCACTTTGATTTTCAGCTCTGACATTTGATTTATTTCGAAATCAGCTTCTCTGAGGATTCTTCGGGTTTGGTTTCAGTTTTCCAAGATATTTTAGCACTTCTTTACCTAAAGCTGGAGCACGTAGCGTTCAATGATAAGCTGAAAAGTTCCTTGGCTAAATTTCACCATTTTCGCGATTTTACGCTGACCTTTGCCATCTTTATATTGTTTTAGGATCGATTCGCGCACTTCATTTTGATCTACACTCAACCAATGTCAATACTATAATGTCAAAATTATTATATATTACACCAAGTTTGCTCGCGATTATAGCGGTATTTATTTAGCATTCAAAAAGCGCCGACAAGACGTCGCCACTAACGGTAAATCTTTGTGCATCATTTTCCCTGTGAAGTACAATTTAATACTGAAGTTTGTTTTGGTTGCAAATTACATAAAATAGAAAGTTTTTAAAGTATCAATGAAATGTGTACATCTGCGGCTATGAACTGGCATTCATGTTTTCTGGGAAATTTATATAAATTTTAGATACAACTTATACAACTTCTTAGATAGGTGCATCACTTTAACTGTGAGCAACTGTATATTAAGAGTCCCAATGAACCAAAAGAACCCTTTTGCTCATATGTTCCGTGCAGTTTTCTAAATAGTCAGAAAAATATTAGTTTGCTATTTACTCAACATTTGTTCAAATGAATTCATATAATATCAATTTTTATTCAAATATTTTTGAAAACTTGCGACTAGGCTAGGTTTACCAAAATTCACGGAAGTAAAGTAAAATTAATTGTAAGGGGAAGAGAAATTTGCCGTAAACGAATGAAAAGTATTCCTTTTTAGTTGTTTATATAAGTAGTAAGGCATGTCCAATAGAAACTTCTTCTGCGATCATCTCATGAGTACTTATGACTGTGACGTGGTATGTTGTGGCGCCAGAGTGAATACCAATTCGGAATGTTATTTTCTTTTCTTTTTACTTATTAAAAAAAAATTTGTTTATTTAATTTGCTGCATAGCCGTTGCGCTAAAACCGGATTCAAGAAGTCGTTTGATTAAAAATATTTTCTTTAAATTATCAATTAACATACGTATGAATGACGGCAGCTTTTTTTTACTAGATGTACGAATATATTGAAAAAATCTATATACATGTGAATGTTAGCAAGTATAAATAATAAGTAATATAGTAAATTAAGAACGTGTTATTTAAATGTAGAAAAAACTTACGGCAGTAAACTGAATCAATTAAAAATGTTGAAACATTGTAATTGTATATGTCTTGTCTTCTCGGAAGCAAAGGAAACGAAGAAGAATCGTAAATGAAGATTTCAGAAAAAGCAAAGAGCTAGGTGAAAAGTTTCACACAATTCTAAATCAGTGGAAAGAAGCTATCGATATAGCCAGTTAATTTCCAAAAAGTATTATATTCGTGTACAAATATTTACAATATATTTTTGTGTTTATTATATAACTTCTATTTTTTCTATTTATTTCAGGTAAGTGAAACCAAATTTAGTAAAAAGCATGAATACGCGTTTTGTAAGTAAATTATTTATTTTATTATTGGAATTTGAATACCAAATAAAGTAGAATGGTACAGCAAATATATATTTTCAATTTTCCAGCTCTTCAGCAAATTATATATACTACTTATGCCAACTAAGAGCACAGGCGTAACGATATGCGAGGGCGCAATTTCAGTATATATTGTAGTAGTAGTATAGTATTGTATATATATATTAGTTGTGGGCAGTATAAGAAGACAGTAGCGCTCGGCTCGCCTAGTTGAGTTATTTCAAAATGCAATGATCATGAGATAAACGCTGTAAATAAAGTGGTACTTATTTGAAACATTTATCCATGGTTGTGTAATTAGAGTGAATCCTAATGCCTGCTAAACTCGTCATAAACCTGGAACAATGCATTAAATGACAAGGACAAGGTGAATATTGCTTATCGTCCTTAACTATCCATGCAAATATTGAAACTCTAATTCAACAGTGACTCTCTATGGGACTTCACTTTGTCAGAAATTCATCAATGTTTTAGACTCCTTCGTTAATAGTTAGTTTAAAGGGAAAAATTGAAATTTCAAAAAGTATTTCTTCCGTTTCTTTATTTTTATATCGTACATCGGACCTGAAACTGCTTGCTAACCCATTTCTAAACTTACAATTACTCTTTACTCGAGTTCATATAATCATGTTTAGTCTATTAATGTCTCCCACCCAACTTCTCCTATTCGTATCATTCCTTCGTTCATTGCTGTACTGTGAGAAGATTTGACGTTCGACTTATAACAGCGTTTGTGCATTTGCGGGGGTAGTAGTGTAAGTCAACTTAAGTGCCACTTTAAACTGCTGTAAATATGCTGAAGTGCACTTGGCCAACAATTTAAAGCGTTAACTCAATGCCTTCATCCCCTACGTATCCGCTTTGATGTGCGCACATTGTGATTATTCACATTTTGATTGTTTGGTGTTCACATCTACTCTTGGACAGAAGTGGATTTCAACAAATGACGAGTGCCATAATAACTAGATAAATTCAGATTCAATTAAAGACCTAAATTGCTGCTTGGTTATCAACGAAATGCAAAATTTAAACTCTGTCTGCTATCACTTTGGCGACAGAAATACGCTTTTATTTTTTTATTCACTTGTATATATGTATGTACATTCATACAGCGGGCGCCATCTATATGTGGCCAATGGAAAAGTTGCATAACTTGACGCCGATTTCAGCTCGAATGTTGTTCTTCAGCTCTTCCAAGTCTTCGGTTTGTTGGCATGCACTTTACTTTTCAAAAAGCCTCACAAAAAAAGTCTGGTGCAGTCAAATCGAGCGATCTTGGTGGACAGTCGATATCCCCTCCTTTCGAATCCAAACGTCCGGGGAACCTTTGCCGCAAGAATTTCATCGTTGAGTCCACTGTGTAAGTCTCCCGTGAGTCTCGAAATTGTATTGGAACAACCTTTCCAAAAAAACTTTTACTGGACGCAAGGCCGACAAAGGGCGAGTCTTCCTCTACACAATTACATGATATAAAACCCTGCATTCTAAAAATTTGCCTTGTAACAATACTTTGCAAACTCTTAACATTTTGGAACGCTTATCGTCCAAAAAAGCTTTTGATTTTGTTTGCGCATCAATAACTTTACCGATGCATTTTGGAACATTATACATCGTCAAAGTATGCACAGTTGCATTTAGGAATGCCTGACAATGTAAGGTTGCTTTGCAACTAACGTTTTGGAACTCTTGACAATTAGACGAAAATCCCATAATGTCTTTAATTTTAAAATTAAATAAAATTCTAGTTATTTTATAATTCCTTAGTAATAGCCAAATACACAAGTTGTATGGTAATGTGTTTTAGGCAGCTTTTTAGGGAATTCTGAAACCTTATATTTTATATTCCATGAATTAAAGGGAGCTTATAACCTATGTTATTATTTTACTCGAAATATAATGGCAGAAAAGCAATAAACAATATTTCATACTAATTAAGAAAATATTTATGTCTCGATTTAGTTGAATTTTTTGTTAGTCCCTAAATCTCTATAGACAGATATAGGGAATGCTTATTTTCCGGAAATGGACTAGGGACCAAGAAACGCTTCGCTGTCACACATACTCATTGAATGTATGAAAAATTAATCATAGGATATCTTTTTATCATAACCTTATTCACTCAATGTTTGTTTTTACCATTAGCATTGGTCCAATTTTCAGAGAGAGAAAGAGTCCGACTTTTTGAATAGGCCAGTCCCCGGTCACATAATTTCGAATAGGTCAGTCCTTGGTCCACTTCCCAAAATTGTTTTTCATGAAACCTTTCCCAGGTATCGTAGAAGTAATCTGACGCAGGTCAATCGGCCTTTAAGATATGGAGAATACTCGTTACAAACGGACATACGAGTTTTTTTTGAATACGTCAGTCCCCGGCCCACTTCTCGACTTTTTTTTTAAACCATCTTAGGAATCAGAAATAATCTGACGAAAGTTCAAGTCATTCGATTGGTAATTTTTTTAGAACACCCGTTCCGCGGCGATAAAAGAGTTTTTTCGAATAGGTCAGTCACCGGTCCACTTCCCCAAATTTTTGTTTTCTGCGAGCTATGCTTATAGGCTGATTTCGAAATGTCATTTCCAAAGCTGTTTGCAACTCCATATTGCCGTTATTAACGGATAAAAGTCTTAACCGATCAATTTGTAGCTCATGGCTCTAGTGTGAGGTAAACTTTAATGTTCCAACTCGTGTATCTGGGCTGTTTATGCCTTTACTATGAATTGAATGAACCCTTCGCCGATTGTGTCACAATTGTAATTTTCATTTCATCACCTGCGATCTCTCAGACTCACTTTTTAGCGGCAAAAATTAATCAAATAATCACCAAAAAAAAAGTCGATGCCCAACAAACATTTTTAATTCCTTTACCACCAAAATATTGATTTGCTGACCATTTCGCTTGCTTACTTCTTTGCACGAACAGAGTTCCGTAAGTCAAAAAAAAAAATTTAAATGCGAACGCCGAAGATTGTCTGCACAAACATACAAATATGTGGGGGATAAATAATATAATAAGAAATTGAATTTTGTTAAGACATCTTAATTATGATCCTTAAATGACGCCTCGTTAATAATCAGATTTAATGTCTAGCGGCTACCGTGTTGGTCCAATAACATTAAACTATTGTATTATGCACCTCTTCTCATTCATTACAACATTTTCACATATATACTTTTGATATTACTTCCGCAAATTGCGTGTGCATATTTCCCACGTTTTTATAGTATCTTCTGACAAAAATTGTTGTGTCCAAGTCTGTTAGTCACACGTTAACCTGATATCGCTTTGGTAAACGGTACTTAGGGCTGAACTAGTTAAAATGAAAACTTGACGCAAAACATGTGAACAGAATGATGATTAAAGTGAGCACAGCTGAGGCGAAAGCTAATGACTTTATGTTCATATAGCCCTAGAAAGCTTAACGATGGTGGTGTTATACCTGCAATCGTTTAGGTCTAATTGAGTGCGTATTTAGCCAGCTAAGAAAACATTTACATAATATTGACCCGATCAAAGTGAGAGAAGCAATAGTAGCATCCATATGTGCTTAAAAGCCAAAGTCATATAAATTCAGGGGCAACAAGAAACATAGGAGTTTCGACTCGATTTACCTCGTAGTTGCGTTTTGATATATCGCTCGAAGTATTTATTTACACATATGTGAAAAAAAAACACATAATAAGCAGTTAAGGCGAAGCACAGCGAGGTGAAGCAAAATGTTGCCGAACATTCAACTTGTTAACGTTTCCTAAATTCTCTAATGCAATATATGTTTTTTAAACAATTTAAAGTTTTTTCATGTTGATAAGTTTAAGCTTTTTTTTTTGTTTTTTTAAAGAGTATTTTAGAATACCAAATTATCAAACATTAATTAGATTTTAACTATTGATAGCCTCAACAGTAGCAGCTATTTTATGCACTCTTTCAATTAAATTGCTCTGGTTAATATTAGAGTATTAAACCGAATTAAAAAAAAAAGACAAAAACAATTTACTCAAAAGAATAATTTTTCTTCATGGTTGCGGTCATTGCTTCGGATTTACAAAGCACAGAAATAATTGCAGCCATATTTTGCAACTTCTCTATTAATATAAATATGTGCTGCTTAATATTGCACAACAAAAGAAAAAACATTTCAATTAGCATTGCCATTATTTGCTTTGTTATCTCACAAAACACAGTTCCATCTTGAAATGTTACCTTTGACGTTTCGTTGTTTTCCCGCTGTATGAAATTAATTTGCATTAAATTTTTGGCAACGGCGACCGTTCTACTTTCGTTTGTTGTTTTTAGATGTGCCAGAGGTCCTTACGGCAACACGGAGAGCCAGTGCCAACATTTAGCCACATATTCATTGTGCCAACGTAAATAACCAAAAATTGAAATTATTTACTGCGAAACTAATGAACTTGTGGATTGGTGCGCATTGATAAAATTTTTATTTTGCATTGTGTTGGATATACAAATGTATATTGTAAATATGCATGACGACATTTTCAAATCAAGAGCTGAAATTGTTTAAAGAACAAGAATATGTATGTAAATATATACTTACAAATATAATTAACGATTTTTTTGTCACATATTTTCTCCGTCTTTATTATTGATTACTACCAATAATTTTTCCTAACTTTTGTGAGTACATATATACGAGTATTATTTCAAGCCAGACATTCTCGTGATGAGTATCTACCTACTATTTATTGTATATCCTAATTGTACTCAAAGAGTGATGTTGTTGATTTAAGATTCTAAAACCATACGCCTATTATATTTGAAGAAAAAAGGCAAGACGGGAAATGCATATTCCTACTGTACGTATTTCTGCTATGTCCCCCTAAACGACTTCGGGGCTTAAAATATACCTTTTTTTTGGGAACAGGATCTGAAACCGATTTATTCCAAAAAATTGTATTTCAAATCAAAATCTCAAATCTAAATCTCTATCTAAATCATATTAATGAA